TGGATTCGCATTTCTGATGAGACCCAATCAGGTCGAAAACAGCTGTCCAGTGCTTCCGAGCTTTTCACTTCACGCTTCATTTGCTATATGCACGACGAATTCCCATTTAAAATATATATTTGCTGGAATCCGTAAGCCTGCATACAGTCTGTGAGGTGAAAATATCCCATGGGACCAAAAGAATAGTGGTAACTACAAGTATTAAAGGATTTCTTTCCATATAGCTCCAATTGAAACATTGTGGTGCTCTGCGACTACAAATTATTAATCATGGGATCAGTTTGATATTGTCCTATCGCGGATGCATAGGAGAGAACGACATAAAACAACAAAGCTCCTTTGCATGATTATTGCCGGGAAAAGAATCGTCTCCAAGTATTTTGGAGGTAAACAAGAAAAGCGACTCATTCCTAGGCATTCGAATGATAACTAGTATTGACTGAATGATCCATAGGACTGCATTGAGCATGCGTGTGGCTTAGTGGAACAACAAGTGTGTTTTCCTGATTCCGTTTTATTCAGCTGTGCACTCGATATATTAAAAACGCCTTTGGAATCTAGAGAGAGAGAGAGAGCTCAGTTACACTGACGATAGCTTAAAAGTGGCGTTTGACAAGTTTCAGTCCATTCTTATCAAGACGTTCAACAGAACTCAAACGCCTTCAGCAATCAATAAACGTTTCCAGTGATCCGTTCTACTTTGTTTACAAGCCTAGTATATCCATTTTGGACGCAGTCTCCACCCTCATTTATTTTATCACAAAGTCTTTAAAAGACTCTGTTAAGTCCGTTCAGTGTATTTTTCTTGACTCCCATTCAGCATTTGATTCCATTCTTCGATCTCAGCCGTTACAAAAACTGCAATCGTTTGAATGCCCTAAGTAGATTTTAGCTTTGTTTACCAACTATTTTACTGATAGAGTAGAAACCATCAAATTGTGGACGTTTTCAAAGAAACCCTTAGTTAACAACTCTGGGGTTCTTCAGGGAGCCATGTTATCCCCATACTTATTTTCCACTTATATTTTTGACCTTCTGCACTAATTTGGAAATTAGCAGATGTTGTCGTTCTAAGCCAACCGTTCATACTCTGGTCTTACCTCCTTCACCGACAATTTTGATCAAATACCGGCATTCTCCTCCTCATCGGGGCTGACCCTAAACCCAGTAAATCTATTGAGTGTTTTCACAGTTTTGCACGCCCGTTGTATCCTACAGATCACATAGTGATCAATATCAATCCTGTATCTAGAGTGAACTCTATCAAATATCTTGGTGTAACCATAGAGAGCAATCTTCATTGATCAACCCACATCCACAAACGCATTGGTAAACTGCGGCGTCTGTCATTTCAAATATCAAAGCTCAGGAATTTTCGCGCATCCCAGTCAGTTATTTATACCTTTTTTATCAGTGTGTTTTACCCATCTTGCCCTACTGTTCCCCAGTTATTTTTCTTGGCTTACTCAAACAGGATTTTAAAGTCTTACCCTCAGTCTCTCTTCATACGGCTTCTGATGAAGACTCATCTTCCAGGCCTGAAAAACCGAGTTGGTGTCAGATATGAAATCGTTCGAATAAACGATCCATACCCATTGTGAGAAAACACAATGTAGCGAACAAGCTCGTTTGCGGTGATTGTTCTACAGGCTAATACATCACAATTTATATTCAACTGTTTGGCAGGGGAGAGAGATCAAAACAAGTTGAAAATCAGATAATTAACATTCTGGTTCCATGACCGGATGTCACTCACACGTTGGTCCTCACACATGCGAACTTGTTTGGGTCATTAGGGGCGAGTGGGGGATGGCTGTGTCGTGTGTGTTAGCCATGGAAGACCGAGTGTTCTTACGAATTGTTTTTGGGAGCATGAAAGGGGGGGATTAAGTAGGTGGATTCTGATTGCTTCCGCTGTGGCCAAAATGCGATTCCTAATCCTCTTAGATGGGCGGGTGCGAACCAAGAATAGGGATCGAAACACCTCGGCCACATTAATGACGTGGTTTGATTCCACTAGGTGTGAAACGATTGAGCTGGTAATAGTCCTTTTACTCCACTGTTCAATCAGGCCGGGTGATGCTCAGGGACTTGCTCAGATAAACGTCTACTCGTACGGCTAACGTACCTTGCCCCACAGGAACAGGTACCAGGGCGCGGAGAGTATGTACGGACGATACTATTGATGCAGAACTGAGGTTTATTCGAGATGTTTTTCTTCAAAACGGATACCCCGTGCGATTTATGGACAACATTCTGGGTCGTCACCGGTTGCCAAATAAGACCATTACTGCGGAGAAGAAACCGGTTTGCATATCGCTACCTTTCAAGGGCGACACGACTGCCGATATGATGACATGGAAGCTCCGTACAGTTGTGGAAAAAGCATTCCCCGCGGCAAAACTGCGTGTTGTGTTCATCTCCAGACCACTTCTGCGCTTTCAACTCAAAGATAAATTGCTTGTTTCTGCCGTCTCTTTCTGTGTATACCTATTTACTTATGGGGCAAGGTACATTGGCCGCACGAGCAGATATGAAATCACCTATTAATGGCTGCTTAAAATTGCCATAGACATCTAACCCCCGTGTGTGAGAAGGATCATTAGGAGAACTATATTAGACTCGGCGGTGTTGAAATAAATAAAACAATAATTTTGCCTCTTTTTTATTTATTTATTATAAAAATATGCAGTCCACATTGCGGCTGGGGGCCGCGGCCATACGAAGGCTGCCTGGGAAGACGGGCGGCGGTGGAGCGGTTTGAACCCGGGACTCCCAGGTCATAAGCTGGCGATCTAACAACTTGAACACCACCGCCTTGGATTGTCAGAAATTGACACTTTTTATGATAATTTCCTTCCGATTATTGCCCCATCTCTTGCTGACGGCTTGTATTTAATAGCTGGTGACTTTAACCATGCATCCCTGTACCCTTTATTGTGTCTAAACATCAGGTACATGATTATTGAACGAACTAGAGGAAACTCTCATCTAGACCACACAATTACAAGCCACGCTGACATCTTTTCCACCAAACAGTTCTCCCCCTTAGGCATCAGTGACCACAACCTGATCCGGGTAAGACCTGAGATTTACTCACACTCAGGACATTTTTCCTGTACTCGACCAAAACACATAATGTTTCGTCAGCGAGATCTTTCACCAGACAATATTGCCTTGTTTAGATTGTCTCTTAACATAGTTACCGACTGTTTTCCTTTGAACACAACCTGACATTTCTGAGAGAAGCATTGAACTGTGTTTTTGACATATGCTGTCCTGTGGTAACTTTGTTCTTTCAACATAGCAGAATATAAACATCTTTTCATAAACGTCTTCGCCGTGAAAAGGAACGTGAATTTAAATGTGGCAGGAGGGCCTAAATGCAACGATTATCATTCCTGATCAAGGGTGAAATAAGACGACGGGACGCCCTTTATGCAAGTCAGTTTTTTGGGACGAGGAACTGTTAATCTATGTGGCGTGGAATTAATGTACTCTGTAGGAAGAAGAAAGTGATTTCCAGTCCCGCTATCGATATTGAAAAACTGAATAATGCATTTATTCATTCTTCGTCCGACAAATGCTCCATTTATGCTGATACCAGTTCTCCAAACATTCAACTTTCGTTTGATCCCATCACATCTGGTGAAATGTATAAACACATGTGTTCTCTCACGTTGTCCATCGCAACTGGTCCAGAAACTGAAGTCCCAACCTTCTTAAACACGGTGCTCTGCCGCTGTCTCAGATTTTTGCACATAGCTAATTTTTAACTCGAACTCCGAACTATTCCAGACTGCTGGCGCCCAGTGAGAATTACTCCCATACCCAAAAGAACGTCATAGGTCCCAATAGCGAAACGTTTCAGACCGATTGATCTCACCTCCACTGGTTTGAAATTGATGGAGCGATCAGTTCTGCATCGTCTTCAGTTATCTCTTACCACCCTCGATGACACTTATCAGTTTGTTTAAAAATATAACTGCTCTACATTAGATGCCGTTTCTTCTCTAGTTCATTTCATCTGTAAGTCCCTCTTAAGGAGAAAGCTAAATATGTGCCTTGTGCATTTCTTGACTACTCCTCCGCTTTCGATTCAGTGCCCCGCTGTCTTTTACTTAACAAGCTTCAATCTTTTGGCTGTCCGGCTTCTCTTCTTGAATGGCTTGCAGATTACTTTTCACAAAGATATCAGTATGTTAATTTGGAACGAAGACAGTCAACCACGTCACTCAACAGCTCGGGTGTACTTCAAGGTGCTGTCCTACCACCTTATCTTTTTTCGACTTATATTAGTGACTTACCCGTTACTCCCCCTGTTCG